GCCACGCTTAGTTTCTAGGCGGAGTTAAGCGTCATGGCCGGCTTTGGCGCGCTTTTCAAATGATGTTTGATAGTTTTAGGATTTATTCCTTATAGATGGAAAAAAATTTACATACCCGGACATAGTAATAAGGCCGGACGTGACAACATACCTCACTAAACCCACTGCGGATACCTTCTCGGGCGTTTAAGGGGGACGGCGAGGATGCTGGGATCCCATGCCGTCTCGCCGCCCCACCGCCTTATCCCTCCTTGGGAGAGTGTTGCGGAAGGCAATACTCTCCCCCCCGCGAATTGCATCGTGCGGGGTCCTCGCGGTTGCGACGCAGGGCGGTATCAACCCCACGTCGCGCCCTCCCAAAAAGTTTGGGGGGCGGGGTCACGGCTCGAGTGTCCCGCTCGAGCCGCCACCCCCCGCCTCCAGAGTGGTGCTCCCTCCTCCTCCCGAAGGGAGTGGGGGATTCGGCATTCACTCCGAAGGCCCTCACCAGGGGGTCCCTCTCAGAAGGAGAGAAACCCGCTCCGTGGACGACGTTGCCCTCCCACCGGTGCCATGTGGCTTCCGGTGAGAGGGCCCCGTGCATCACGTCTTCGTCAAAGAGGGGGACCCAGGCGCCCCGAGCGGGAGAGCAATGCCCACCCGCCGGGGACACGTGGCCCCCCCTCGGTCCCCCCGGCTGCGACTCCTTCCGCTCCCTTAGGAGTTGGGATTCGGTCGCAACCGGGGGGATTTTCCTTCCGGGTGCGTAGACCCACCCCCTTGGTTCTCGTGAGGCTCCAGGGGGGGGCATTAGGGACTTAGTTGTCTCCGCCCCCCCCCGCGGGAACCTCATCCTGCGTCAAAAGTTGACGCAGGTGTGTTGGGGGCGGACCCCCCCCGATCCGCGCCGCCGCAAACGAGCGAGCTCGCCGACGGCGCGAAAAGGGAGGGCCCGGCCCCGCCCTCCACGTCTGCTCTCCTTTTTCGGAGGTTGTACCTCCCCCGACCCCCGCCACCACCGACGGGCAAGCCCGCCGAGGGCGGGGAAGGAGGCACACCTCCCCCCTCCGTGTCTTCTCCTTCTTTTTCTCCTCCGCTGGGGGCGCGCCCCCCCCGATCCCCGACACCACAAACGGGCAGGCCCGCCGGTGCCGGGGAAAGTTGGGGCACGTCCCCTTCGCTTTAACCTAACCTTTTTTTTTGTTACTCTGGGGAAACCTTATGGTACCACTCACCTCCGGGTAGAGGTGAGGGTTATGTGGGACTCCCTGCCCCGCCTGGCCGGTCCGCCGTAGCGGGCCGGAGAGCCGGGACAGGACCTACCGCACTAAAACCCCAGATATCCTACCCGGGGCGTTGGATGGGGGGTGCCGAGGATGCTGGTAACCCATGCCGTCTCGGAAACCACCCCCCCCCCGCCCATTAATCTCCGGGGAGCCGCCTCAACCTTGCGGCCGAGACACCTCCCCGACCGCACAGTCAATGACTGTGCGGTGTCGACGCGGTTGCGGCACGAGGCGACATCGACCTCATGCCGCGCCCTCCCAAAGAGTTTAAGGGGCGGAGCCATGGCTCGAGAACTCCCGCTCGAGCCATCGCCCCTCGCCCCCCCAGTGTCGTAACCCCCAGACCCTCAAGAGGGTGATCCGGTTCGGCGGTTCACTGAGGGAGCCCTCATCAGGGGGTTCCTCTCAGAAGGAGAGAAGCCCCTTCCGTGGACGGTGTTGCCCTCCCACCGGTGCCTTATGGCTCCCGGTGAGAGGGCCCCACGCGTCACGTTTCCGTCCTTGAGAGGGGCCTAGGCGCCCCAGGCGGGAGGGCAATGCCCGCCCGCCAGGGACACGTGGCCCCCCCTCGGCCCCCCAGTTGCGACTCCCACCGCTCCCGTAGGAGTTAGGATTCGACCGCAACCAGGGGGGTTCCCCCTCTGGGAGGACGAGCGCCTAAGCGCGGGAAGGACGGCCGCCCCCCCTCAAGAGGCTGCCGGGGGGCAGAACGCGAGCCTATGCCCGCGCACCCCCCCCCCCCGACACCCTCATCCGGCGTCGAACGTCGACGCCGGGATTTTTTGGGCGCCCCTCCCCCGATCCCCGCCGCCGCAAACAGCCGCACTTCGGGGTACGGCTGCCGACGGCCGGGAAAGGGGAGACACGCCCCCGCCCCTCGACCCCGTCGGAGGTGCCCTACAGCACCCCTGTCCTCCCAGGACATGCCCCGCCGGCCGTCGCAGATCCACACAAAGTGAACAGCGCGGGCCGGCGCGGCAGGCCCGTGCGATGTGGCCAGGAGCCCCGCAGCGATAGCAACGGGAACTCCTGTCCACGGCCGAGGTGCACCGCCGCCACATGTATCCAGGGCATAGGCACCGGTAACACCTCGGCTGCACCTCCCTCCTCTCTCCCGTCCGGTCCTTCTTGTCTGTCTCGGTCGCAGGCTTCCTTGGCGTTGTTGTAATCGCCTCCTCCTTTCGCCTGCGACGACCGACGACCCTGGACCACGCCTCCCCTCGGACTTCGGTCTCCATCTCCGAGCCCGGTGACAAGGTGTCGAGGGTTGGAGAGGCCTCTCCTCCTTCATCACTCTCCTCCCCCCGACCCTTCTTCCCCACCTTCGGAGCATCCGGGATCCGAGCTGCCCTCACCGTGCTCTTTACCCCTCTCGCTCCTCTTCCGTCCGCAGCGTCCTTCCTCCCCTTCTCTCCTTCCGCTTGCGGGCGTTTTTCCCCCGTCTTCTCCGCGAGGTATTTTCTCCACTGAGAGTTCCTCTCCATCTCCTTCTTCATGGCGCATCGCAGGTCCTTCATCTCCTCCTGCAACTCCTTCGCCCATGGGGGAGGATGTTCCGCCTTGTCTTTTACAAGGCCCGCTACCTCTGTATTGGTTCCCCTGGTGCTGGTGGTCGGCAGCCAGGGGTCCAAGCCGATATCCCTCCTCTCTACCCGAGTGGAGTTGCCCTTCAGGTGCATATATGCATCCTTCAGGGCCGCTTTGTCCCGCTCCATTCTCTCCACTCTCAGCTCTATGAGGTCCATGTACCTTTTCACTCTTGTGAGCCGGGTCTTCCAATCCGTCAGGTCCTCATTAAGCACCTCGATTAGTTCCTCCTCCTCCATATCTTCCTGCTCTATTTTGATTCTCCGGAGAATCTCAGAGCAGTCCGTACTGCATCGGTGCAACATGCGTGTTATTAGCATGCCACCTGCTTCTTCCTCGCCCTCCGTTTCGCATGAATCCCCCGACTCGTATAAATCGGAAGATTCATACGAAACCTCCATAGCCTTTGCAGGCTCTGTCATCTGCCCGTCGTGTGATGACGACGGGGTGGGGGCCGGGACTATACCCCCCTCCTCGCCGGGCCCTGGGGCATCCGACTCCCCTGGGCCGGTAACGGTCTTTTTTGATCGTCGTCCGTCCATATTGTTTGGTTTGGTTTTTTTACTTGGTGGCCTTCCAAGGGTGGCGGGCCAAAGCCCTATGGCCCCACCAGGCCAGGTGTACCTCCATAGGAGGTACAGACCACTCTTAGCACCTCTCGCAAGGCTATTCCCTTGCGAAGGGTGAGCCCCCCCACCACGACAAGGTGGTGGTCCACGGGGGGGGGCTTTAACCTTGCAACCGACAGGTGAAGTTCCGATGAGCGGACCTTTATCTGAGGTAGCAGGCGCATCAACGTCAAAGAAAAAGCAGACCAGCGGGGACATCGGTGAGCAGCAGCAGGAAGCGATCAACCGAGAGGAAGCCGCAACAATCAAATAAGCGAAAAACGGTAATCGGAATACAGTTCCGACACCAAAAGACACCTACACGTGCAGTGAAACAAAGGTGATAACGCGATTTGCCAAAATTATTAGTTTACGCGGAAATGCGGTTAGAATTAAGTTAAAAGACTCAACGATTGCGTAAGATACACAAAAAGCGCAAGCAAATTAAGTTAAATAATTTATTTAGTTATTTTAGAATATTTTATTATTAGGCAAAAACGCGAAAACATATTTAAGTTAATTTATATCATTAAATTTCAAATATTATTCATGTTACTAGTTCATGTAATAAGTTATAAAGATAATCTCATTTATTATATTAGATTAATTATAAAGTAACTCAAACAATTAAATAACAAATGGTATTTGATTTTATGTTTGCACATAAGCATATAAAGATAAGTTTATTTACTAATTAAATAATAATATTAACTTAATTGTAAGAGCATTAAAATAATTAAATTACAAATAAAAGCTTATTTTGATTTCACACACAAAAGATCAAGTTAGTTTATTTAAGAATTAAACGAGAACATTAATTTGGTTGCACAGTTATTTTTATTGATTGAATTACAAATATTATTTTATATTACTAAGTTTGATTCATGATTAATCAATTAATAATGTTCATTTAATTTAGTTACAATATCAACTTAAGTTAATCTAATATTATATCAAGGATAAGATAAAAATAAATAAAAACATAAAAATAAACAAAGGGCAAAGATTGCACAATAAAAATAATTAAAAATATTTAGGTAAACACAAAAAAGAAAAATATAACAATTAGGGTAAGTTTGTTAATTGAATTACACATGTTGCGAGCAATAACAAAGTTTAATATAGGTCATTTTGATCTCATAGATTATACTCGCTCTTCTTAAGTTTAAGTGTGATTGTTTAATTCAAATAATGCGTAAGAGAAATAGATAAAATTACAAATAAAAATTAAGACTATATGCAATAAGCCTAGCGGAAATGATCCGGCGGTAAGTTATGTTATTGCAGCAAAGACGTAACAGCCGAAGATCGCAATGTGCTAAGGTCGTTTCAATTAAATCAAATTTGAATAATATTAAATTTATTTTATTTTTGGTTATTATTACATTTATTTTAATTTTGGTTATAACTAAATTTATTTACAACAAAGTAAAATAAGTACTTAATTGGATAAGTACTTAAAGACTGAAAGTCATGGTTGAGATTGATAAATACATTGGTATCATATTTGTTTAATAAAAGCAAAATGACTCGGCCGTTACGTATAAAATTATATAAGTTTAGTTCAAAGAATCAAAGTCCGAATTACGTTTGATTTCGGTTAATTTTCATTTAAAGTTAAGTTATAATATAGTACGTATTTAATTGTATTTGGTGCTAAGAGCAAAATAAAGAACAATATCTAGGGCGCGGACCATGTAGAGAGACCCTAGCAATTCCAGCGCGCGGACCATAACGAGAGACCGCGCTGGTTGCGTGGCGCGGACCGTTACGAAAGGCCGTAAAAGAACGAAAGCTGATTGGCGCGCGCGAAGGGCCGAAACGCAATTGGCTGAAGCACCCAGAGTGGGGTGACAGAGTATAAAAGCGGGCAGCGAAATGACTCGAGGCTCTAATGCGCTGTCGGGTACCGAGAGGCTACGTCGGCCGATAATAAAAAAGCGCTAGAGACAGTCGTGATATTATAATCGTCTAAAGGCGGCATCGTGACTTTAAATATTCGGTGGCCAAATGAGACTCGTCATAACGCTGTCGTTTCCGAAAAACCACATCGGTCGATAAATAGCAAAAGCGTTTGGGTCAGTCGCGTGTGTAATCAGAAGCCATTGTGCGGAAGCGTGATTATAATTTTAAGTGGTAATTCTAAAATAAATTGCGTTCCGGGAAACGGTGAGGCGACGCCAGCCAAGATAACGATGCGCATAACCATTGTAACGTGGCGCTTGAGTGGATCAGTGTCCGTGAGAGGGATTGTTAATAAAGCACCCTGTAAAGTGAAATACAATTAAATTAAATTTGTTATACTTAACTGGTGATAATTATTCGGTGGATTACCTACCTACAAAATTCCTTGCGTACCTGAAACAAAGAAGGAAGGTGCCTACAACGGAAAGGAGGAACACCGAAGCAAGGGCCAACTCAAGGGAATTGACTTCTTCGGCGAGAACCCAATAGCCAGGATTACAACCAACACCTTCGTGCTTATACAGGTTAAAACGTGGCGACCGGATCAAAGGCGAAAGCACTGCAGCCTGCTGGCAGGGTAAGCCTTGCATACGTAACGTTTCCATAAAAAAGCGGGGGTATGTAGGGTTTGTCCGGTCACAACCTAACCTAGACTTACATCGCTATATTATATACATATATATTTACAGTTCTTTTGACTCATCGTCATCACGCTGGGATGCTCAACTTGGTTCCATCGCACCTTCAACGTTCCGTTGGGGCTCCTGGGATGGTCCTTGACTTTCCATCAGGTGAGTTGTCATCTGACTCGCTGGAACGCTCGTGAGTGTTCCCTCGTTCTTCTGTGGTTTGTCCTTGATGTTCGGGGTAGTTGCCGGAGTTTCATCCGGGATAATCTCCAGTGGATCGCGACCAGTGGTCGGTCGCAAGGTACGGACTCGGCCTTGAACCATTTGGTGCGGGGGTTGAGACCGTGCACGTACTCAGCCGACCACCGCTGCCAAAAATGGTCTCGCATCAGCTGCAGGTGACGCCAGCGTGACAGCGTGGAGGTTGATTGACCCGTCAGCGATGGCTCAGGTACCGCGAGTAACGGTGCTCCGATGATGAAGTGGCCTGGTGTGAGCGCCGAAGTGTCGTCTGGATCGTCTGACAGAGCCTGTAACGGACGAGAATTAAGACACGCCTCTATTTGTGTGAGGAGTGTACTAAGCTCCTCAAACGTAAGTGTAGTTTCGCCGATTACTCGACGGAGATGAAATTTCGTGAATTTTACGGCAGCCTCCCAAAGACCACCGAAGTGAGGGGCCGCTGGCGGATTAAAGTGCCAGCGGATCCCTTGAGTGCTGGCGACGCGGGCGATGTGATGGCCCTCGGAGGTCGACGCCTTGAAGAGCTCACGCAGCGTGCGATCGGCGCCAATGAATGTCGTACCACAGTCGCTGTAGATGTCCGTGCATAGACCTCTGCGCGACACGAAGCGGCGTAAGGCGGCAATGAAGGCCTCGGAGCTGTAATCCGAGACAACCTCGAGGTGGATAGCCTTTGACCAGAAACATATGAAGACTGCGATGTATCCCTTCTGTGAGCGGTGTCCGCGCTTCTTGCTGGTCCGGATAGAAATGGGTCCCGCGTAGTCCAGGCCAGTACTCAGGAATGACCGAGTCGGCGTCACTCGGTCACGAGGAAGATTGCCCATAGGAGGTTGTGGAGTGGCAGCTCGCTAGCGAAGCAAGTGACGCACCGATGCAACTGCTGCTTGACGACGGTCCTTCCACGTGGCACCCAGAATCGAAGGCGAAGTAAGCTGAGTCATTTGGACGCCGCCATGCAGAGACCGACGATGGCAGGACTCGATTAGCAGTCGCGTCATCCAGGAGGCCGGCGGGACGATCACCGGGTGCTTTTCGTCGTAGGGCAGCAGAGCGTGCTTGAGGCGTCCTCCGACGCGAAGCACACCTTGGTCGTCGAGGAATGGGTTCAGCTCGACCAGTGAACTGCGTGGTGGACCAGGCCGTCCTGCGGTGGCAGCAGCTACCTCGTCAGGGAAGTGGAGCGCCTGCACCACTCGAAGCCACTGAAGTAGAGCGGCGTCTAGCTCGTCAGGATGCAGCGGGCGACCAGATGTGACCTCCCGGCTTGCCAGATTGAGCCACCGACGACACCAAGCCGTAACGTGCAGTAGCTGATGGAGTGCGGAGAACCAAAGCAGGAGGTCCGGTTCGATGATGACGGAACTCCTGGTTATCAGGCTGGTGGTGCGTTGTTCTGGCAGGTCGTGTGATGTCGGCAGCTCTGAGATGTCGACCTCTGAGTTGGGCCACGCCGTTTCGTCCAGTGCTAACCAGGCAGGTCCTGTCCACCATAACGCGTGGTTGATTAATTCATCAGGAGTAATTCCTCTTGATGCGCAATCTGCAGGATTGTCTTTCCCGGCTACGTGCTTCCACAGAGCGTCCGGGAGCTGTGTCTGGATATGAGCTACCCGGTTGGCGACGAAAGTTTTCCAGCGGGTGGCGTGTCCCTGGATCCAATGGAGGGTGACCTTGGAATCGGATTGTGTGTGAATGTGTGTAAAATTTAATTAATCTTTCATTTAAATTTACCTGTTTATATATTTCCTTAAAAAACCAATTATTTATGCTTCAGTATATGCAATTAAGAATGTACATTATAAATAGTAATTTTTTTTTATTATGGTTACATATATATATATATATATATGCATCAACTCACTAATATAAATATACTTTATAAAACTAAAAATATTTATGATTTTATATCAGAGTCATCTTTTTAATAACATTATATATATTTTAAGCACTTTTAATTCTTTTTCTAACAAACTATATAAAATATTATTTGTATAAATATATTTGTCAAGTAATAGAAACATAGGTAAAAGGAATGTTAACAATGAATGTTATTACATATCACTACATAGCACGATTTAAATAATGGTTATTATGGTCATAGAAAGCCATGTAAACAAATATCAAAGCATACATTTAAATTTTTTTGATCTTGTGACGTTTTTTCCCGCACGTCGATTCCCGTATCATAGGTGCGTTTTCGTTGCTGCTACCAGGCTACAAGCGGTTGGTTCGTGTTTGAAGACATGACGTCACTAATAGTAACCAAGAATAAAAACGTCTCGAGCAGGCAGTGCGCAAACGTGTTAGCGTGGTTGCTATACACGATGGATCCTGAGAGGTTATCTATGATGTTAAGTATGATGGAAATGATGATTGATGATGAATTATCACATATTGTTAATATGTGTCAGTTACAATCCACAAGCAGGATTGCCCTTTCCTTTCTGAAGGATAGAATAAATCATTTCAAAATAGGAATAATTGCTAACGAAGAGTGGGTGACCCATTACATTGATCAAGATTTTCATAAACAGTTTAGGTATAATAAGCACAAAGCATCAGCTTCGTTACTGCCACATTTCTTATTCATCATGCTGTCGATGTTATTTTTGACATTCATTGACTTGTTAGATTAAGTGAATTCTATCTAAATTTGTCTTTTTTGACAGGATGATGAAGAGCACATATTGGGCTCTTATAGACACAGTTCGACCTTACTACCCTGTCAAGTGCCAGAGAGGTGATGCACCTTTGGTAACAGTTGAGAAAGCTGTCCTGATGACATTGTGTTATCTGGGGAAGCATGTGCCTTTGTCTGATATAGGTGATCGATTCGCTGTGGCTCAAAGCACAGTTTTTAAGGAGGCCAAAACTATCATTTATATACTGTGTGATCTTAGAGATACATTTATTGTTTGGCCCAAAAGAGTGAGTGTGTGATACTGAGCAGGCAATTTGAGGATCGTGCAGGATTTCCTGGTGAGCACTCTGTATGGCTTGGCTATTTTACTTTGAAATGTTTTTCTAAAGACAATGCTCTTCATGCAGAAGCTTTGTCATGTCTTATTGTCTCTTGCCATTTTTTCAGGTGTCATAGGAGCTATCGATGGTTGCCACATTGAAGTTGTACCTCCAGCAAACCAGCATTCTAGTTACATAGATCGTACATGCAACTACTCTATCACACTTCAAGGTGGGATTTTATGAAAACAGTGTATTTTTGCCATTAATATCATAATCTCTCTTATAGTAATATCAGCATTTCATTTTATAGGAATTTGTACTGCAACAAAAATATTTACAAATGTATCGATTGGAACACCTGGTTCTCGTAATGATGCCCACGTTATGAAGTACTCTAGCGTTTACCGGACGATAATGTGAGATGGAATGGAATCCATGTTTTTTAATAGCAATTATCATTTGATAGGTGATAAGGCCTACCCTAACAGGATGTGGTGCATGGCACCTTTCAAGTAAGTTGAACATTTTTGCATTCAAATATGTGTTGTTATATTTTACCATGTGAATAGCATTCTAATGCTCTTTCCTTGAATAGGGATTTTGGGAATCTTACTCCAAGACAAAGAACATACAACTATCATCATAGTTCAACCCGCATTGTAATAGAGCACACATTTGGTCTTATGAAGGGCAGATGGAAGCGTTTGATGAAAGTCAATACAGAAATTGCCAAAGTCAGTGACATTGTACTAGCCATCTGTGTTTTGCACAATTTTTGTTATCTACACAATGATGAAGTGATTAAGAAAATGATTCAAGATAAAAGACGCATGCCTAACCAACATGTTTCCAACAATTATATAGACGAAGTCAGCAAAATACAAGGCGCAGAGAAACGCAATAGAATTGTACATTTGTTCTGAAAACTTTATTTGTAAGTCTTACTGTGATAAATGAAAAATATTATAGGAATATCTGGAATAAACTATTATATTGTCTAACTATTATATTGTCTTTATTTCTCATTTCCATCTCAGAGCACATATTTGCAAAATTAAATGTTTGGCAAAACTACATTAAATAATAGATATAGAAAGTATGTAAAAAAAAAGAATAACATTGTCTTATATTCTTATATTCCCTATTGTCTTATACATATTTTATAACAAAGAATATACTCAAAATAAAATTTTACTCAGATGGAAATACTGAGTGCAAAACACAACACAATAAAAACATTTTAAATAAGCACACTTATTGAAGAATAAAATAAATATTAACTTAGAACAAAACTAATAGATATACATTGGCACCAAAAGATACATATTACACACAAATCTGGGCTTTTTGCAGTTCCTTACATACTACGAAATGACTAAGACACTTTGGTAATGACAGGTAAGTACATAAAACTAGAATCTTTCTGTAATACTTCTTAACTTACAGTAAGTAGTATAAATATAATTCTAACTTAAGTAAAATAAAACTATAATAATCTAACTTAAAATAAAATAATGTAACACTTTTAGTATAAGTACATGAAATTTGAGGTAGTTTAAATAAAATGTTAATATAAGTACTAAATAATCCTCTGTATTGATATAAATCATATAGAGAGAGACATCTGAAGTAATAAAAGTATATTTGAAATGTGTTTGAAATTCATTTTCAAAGACTTTAAAAGTTGTTTCAAACATGTTTCAAATATTTTTTTGCTACTTGGGATATTCTCATAAAAAGATAATAAAAAGGTAACTATTATTTATCACATATGGAACATATCACATTTAATGCTTGTGTTAATCAATGTTAGCTATCTATTTGTAAATTACAATGTCTTTTAATTAGTAGTTTTATTTGAGCTTGTGTTGTGGCTCAACATATTGGTAATGATATTGAGAAAAGCTTTCTTAGTATCATTTGAATCTTGCATTAGTTTCATTAAACTTTCATTTTGCTTACGGCGTTCCTCAGCCTCATTTTTCAGAAAATCCAGGATGCAGGTGTTATCAATCCTAGGTTTCTTTAGCTTCGTGGATGACTTTACATGAATGAATGGGCTTCCATCGTTTTCATCTGATGATGCATTTTCAGACTCAGTATTACAAATCCTTATGTTCGTTTGTTTTGAAGAATTTGGAGCATTCGGAATCGTCGCTGGTTGCTCGTTAGAGGTAATGAGTGTAGGTGATACATCTCTAGACAATGAATCAAGCAAACGTACTGGTTTTGCTTTGTGTTTCCCTTTAATAATGTCAAATACCTCATCATAAAATGCTGGTTTCTTTCCTTTTCCGTTACCAGAACTGCCAGCACCAGCATTCTGTAAAAAGTGCATCACAGCACTTTCAAGGTTGCGCCACTTCTGCGAGCAAACAGATCCTTCATCTCTTGTTCCAAAATTATACTTTTCTTTTAGTTCTACACCAATTTTTTCCCAAATCTTCTTCTTCACAGTTTTCTTATCATTTAATATCATCTGAATGTCCTTACGTCCCACAATTTCAATTAGGTCATGTGTGGCTGCAATATCCAGTGGTGATGGTTTATTATTTTTGACCCAAATCTCTTCGTTGCTTCTGTCAAAGATTTCACTCGACAAAGGTGAGATATTACGTATTTTAAAGCTTTCTTCACTAGAGCTCTCTGCAGTATTGGAATCCTCTATTATTGTAAAAGGTTTACAGGAATTAGCAGACTTAAATCGTTGGATTACGGAATCATCTAGGGGAAAAGAAATATATGATCCACCTGAAAAAAAAAGTAGAAGTAGAACACAAAGATGCATTAAATATATAGAGAAATTCAAGTAGTTAGTATATAGCTCATTCCGAAAAACAAACGGGTAAAAATTAAAATATCAACTAAAATAAAATTGGACTTATTATATAGCAGGATTAGCTCTCAGCAAATATTTTATTTCAAAACATTTATTAAAATATGACACAAAGACGTAGGTAAGCTTCATGAAAGATAAATTTAATTGACTAACATAACCCCTACAGAACTCACAATGCAAGTATACTTACTTGAAACATGATGGAAAAACATTTGGCCATCAATAGAATGCACGTCACCATCAGCGCGCACGAGGAGGAAATGTTCGTTTAAAGTGAGCACCGTATTGTCCATTTTCGTTTTTACACCATGAATTTACCTCACGGTTGTATACACCATGTATACGATCGTGTCAACACTCTACAATTGATTTCGCGCCAAACAACCTACCACAACCGCGCTATCATCCTCAGGACCATGGCAGCGCGGTAGCAGCTACCGCAACCAACCAGGTTGCATCGATGACGTCACAACCAGAAACAAAAACGGTCGTGTTTGTTTCTGGTCGCTCGTGGTAGGGAAACGAAAACGCACCTCATGTGATCGCACCATGAAAGCTGGAATCCTGCTGCGTCATACCGTTAAGTGAAAATCCAGCCTGATCTCTCTGTTCGGTACTAGACGATTTTAAATATTTTTACATTTTTCTTTTTTTATCAAATAATTATTCTGAAAATGTATGTGTGTGTGTGAGTACAGTTTTGTAATAGAACTTTTTATTACACGCAAAAAATTCTCTCCTCTCGCTTCAAAAGTGATGGACGATGAGGTTAGATAATTTGTCTCGCTTTGTGTGGAAAATTCCAAACTTAGAAGATTTTAATGGCTTATTAATTTTATATTAATAACATTTTTTAAATCTCTGTATATATACAACGCAAGTTTTGTTCATCAAAACATATGTTGATCACTACATTTTATTGATATGATTACATAACCTAAAACACAAAAAAATTTGTTTTGATAGTTTTATTAACCTGCAATTTATATGTATATATAGAGGATTCAAAAATATTAATTAAAAAGTTAATAAAATGTTCTATGAATTAGAATCTTGCGCACAAAGCGAAATGAATTAACTAACTATACTGTCCTTCTTAGCAGCGAATGAAGAGAATTTTCTGCGGGTAACAATTAATTACAGAGAAATTGCAATTGGTATAGTTTATTCTTACTCTTTTATTTTTACTCTATATGTACTCTATGTACTATTTATATTATTTACTCTATTTTTATTCAAGTGGAAACAATTCTTATAAAAGTTCTTTTATACTTTACAGATTTTGCATTATTGTGGTGTTCTATTACAAAACAGAGTTCTACACTACAAATCTGGACTCATAAATTTTTAGAATAATTATTTTATGAAAAATGTGATATATAAAAATACCTAACATCATCTAATATCAAAAGAGAAGAAATATCAAATAGTCACACTATATATGTACACTATATATGCAATCCGAAGGAATTGTCACTTATCAAACTAACTGGCATTTAATTAAACAAGTTTGTGGTAAGACATTTTTTATGAAAGTAAGAAAAATGTTTCTGCGCTTAAGTATTATTTGTTCTTTATTTGTTATATTATTTCAGGGACTTGATGCACTAATAAGATGCGATGATGTGAAGGTAAAGTGCGCACACACTTTTATTCTGGAAAAAGTGCATCGTAATATTTGTACGATACAAAATGTGTGCTTAAATGTTTGTATGGTTTGCTGTAACCATAGTTGTAATTTATTTTAATCAAATCGAGCTATTGTATCAACATGTAATGACATTTCTATAAGGTACTTATACTTCTATTACTTCACAAATATTATATTTAGTTTATTAAGAAAAGAACTGTGTGCTGTAAAAATTTATAAATTTTCAAGACATAACTCTAATCATAAATGTGATGCTTTTAGGTTTATACAGTATTATAGTGGGCTGATATATACATAAGAAAAAAATGAGCATATTTTACATAATAATGTATTACATTTACATTTGCATACTGGCTAGAAAAATTGACTTTAGGAAGATAATACAAACAGGTAAGCAAACAATTGTCAAATTAATTCAAATTTGACATACACATTTTAATTTTGATATATTCTTGACAAATATACAAGCATATGTTTTATTTAAACTAACTGTTTATAATTTGTAACTTCTTTTAATAAAGAAAATCTATCATAAATCTGATTTTTCAAGTTTTATAAAGTATAATTTTAGTGGTTAGTAAATAAAGAAAAGAATTATTTTTATACAATAATAAAATATTTTTATGTGTAATAGAATTATTTATATTTACATATTTGACATTGAAAGAAACAAAAATATATTAGACTTTAATAGAAACAAATACGAAAAATATAGAAAAATATATAGAATATTAATTTAATTTTACATATTTAACACAACATACGTTTTCCACATGTAAAGTGTAATAAAATTCTAATAAAAGACCTATTCAGTCGAATTTTCAATATTTAAATAAAAATATGTAATATATGTAATATATTATCTAAAATTTTTTCCGAAGTTTTATACATAATAATTTAAATACTATAGCCATACTATAATTTATACATTGTTATTATAGCAAGTATAATATCATGTTATTAGATCAAAAATTATTGCTATTATTGCTCTGCAACTCAATAAAAAATGTTTATGGCTCCTGTCCAAAGTATGCCATTTTCAATTTTTCGCGCCATTACGTCGGTAAGAAGCAATTGTTGAGAACCTTTTGTCGCTCGTCTTTTGTTTTAACCTTTTGTTTTAACCAAGTTTTTAGCAGTCTTAGTCGTTACCAGTCGTTACATGCGATCACTTGTAAAAACATGTACGCATTAATTAAATTTTCCAATGAAACGTATTATATTTGTAAAATTTCGCAATTACCTTCACTTAAACGTAGTTTACGTGCTAAGAAAAGAAAAGCTACAAGTTTATATCAACAAATAGAAATTATAGTGCGGCATCGTAAGTCATTTTTTGTAAAATTCCTTGAAAAGTATTAAATAATATTACTATATATTTTCACATATTGTACAATAACATGAAAATGCGTTTATAAATAGTTCTTTCATTAGATTTATATTGAAAACATATTTGTATATGTGTTGTATGTACATATACCTATATATTATATATATTGTACATATTTGTTATATTTTTTTTATATATTATAGCAAATGTTGAATATCTAAATATACTTAAAAGAAATTTGGAAAGAGGAATCCCAAAAGTGAGTTTGTGTAATAACATAAAAGGTAAGCAAAATAATCCTCCTTTACATTTTCATATATTATATTCAATTTTTATTCTTATCTGTTTATTTTACTTGCACTTTATATACTTTTCACACTTCAAATAAAAAACGTATATGTTCAAACATTAGAACAAAAGAAAGACAGCAATTAAACAGCAATAACAAAATATGTAAAAGAGTGCAACAAAACGAACATATCTATAATAAATCTCTACGATAAAAAACTTTATACAATATTAAAGTATAACGTTTGTTAAAATCCAAAGTGGGAAGTAAAGCGTTACAATATTGCAAAATATTTGTAAAAAACATTTGAGAATTGTACCAAGGAAAACAATGATGATAATTTTCCATCGATTGATATAAGGTCAAAGAATAATTAAAAGGTAATCCCTTTACGGCGTAGCCGTTACTAACGCCTCGCGGGCCGATCACCACCCGCCCGCCACTTGAGGCTATGGGCCAAGGCGCCCCTAAGCAAAAATCATACTTATACACGTCACACCCTACCCCAGGGGCGCCCCACTACAACCCCCAGAGCGCCCCCACTACGACGCCGCGTTACCTACCCCCCACCACAGCCTCGAGTAGAGTGGGGACCCGCCGGCAGGGTATATAAGCCGTCGACGGATGAGCGGCACAGTCCTGTTCCGGACCTCCTAGCCAGGCAACGGCTTCTCGTTGTTTACGACGACGCCGGGTTTCCCGGTTTCTGGCCTCCTACCTTTAGTATCGGCAACGGGTTTTCTCGTTTTTTACGCCGGGTTTCCGGTTTCCGGTCTCTCCTGCTAAACGCCGGGCAACGGGTTTCTCGTTGTTCGTCCGGTTTCCCGGTTTCCCGTTTTTGTTTTTGTCTCTTCCTGTTAAACGCCGGGCAACGGGTTTCTCGTTGTTACGCCGGGTTTCCCGTTTCCGGTCTCTTCCTGTTACACGCCGGGCACGGGTTTCCTCGTTGTTTACCCGGGTTTCCCGGTTTCCGGTCTCTTCCTGTTACACGCCGGGCAACGGTTTATCGTTGTTACGCCGGGTTTTCCCGGTTTCCGGTCTCTTCCTGCCTATATCACCGGTGACGGGTTTCTCGTTATTACGCCGGGTTTCCCGGTTACCGGTTTCTTCCTGCTACAGGCTATACGGTTGTAAACCGTATCTTTAATTTTTACCGTAATTTGAAATCTTTTTCGGACACCGCACAGGCTTACGCCTTCCTTAATTGGGTTACCGAGTAGTCAATAAGTTTCCCTCTATTTAGGGCTTTACGCCAACAACATTTCGTTATACCGATAGTCAATACGTTTCTCTATTTATTGCCTTTTATTGCCAACAACCTTTTGTTATACCGAGTAGGTCAATAAGTTTCTCTATTTAAGGGCTTTATGCAACAAACATTTCGTTTATACCGAGTAGTCAATAAGTTTCTTTCTCTATTTAGGCTTATGCCAACCATCATTTGTTTACTTGTTTCTTTTGAATAAACCAAATTATTGTTAATAGGGATAAGGATTCTGAATCTCCCCCCTTCCTCCCGAATCCTGGAACCGGCGAGCCGATCCGCGGCGTCGGGAAAGGTGAACTTTACATGTCGCCCGACAGGGACCCTGCCCAGTGGAGATCCCGACTCGCTTAAGCCTATCAGATGCCCGCGTGGGTAATCAATTACAAAACCGAAGCTATTGCCTTGGCCAAAGACAACGGAATCGATAGCCAAGGAACTTTAGACCTAGGTCCCCGCGCCGACGCCTCCTCCGATTTGTCGGGCAAAACCACCCGCGCTATTTCGATACTCACCTACCTGTGTCCCACTATCCAACGTCGAAATGGCCACCGGAAGCCAACCAAAGACGAAGAAGCTACCACCCCGACACCTGTCGACCACCAGGATCATGGCCAATCGAAAATGGGGGTGCCACTTCGAGGCAGGACCCCCCTGGCATTCCTTTCCTCGAGCGTACGAAGAGCTGTGCTCTGGGGCTATACGGCACAAACGACGCCCAGATGCT